TAATTAAACATAATAACAATATATAACAATAATAATTAAACATAATAAAAACAAACAGCAAAAACAATAAAAACACTAACAAAACACCACAAAAACCCCCCAAACCCACCTGTATCACCCCGCAAACCGCCAATAACACAACCGTCCTCACCAATCCATTATTCAACAATAAAATGAAAAATATTGCCGGTGCGAATAATAATACATTCATCTTAATCGATACACCACAACTAAAAATTATCACATTCATCGGTTAGAGTGCAGACAGTCAGAGTGAATTTGGCAGAGTGCGCCAAGCAAAGGTCAAACACAACAACACTTACCAAATAACGATATACAATATTAATAACAAAACATAATAATAGATAATATATAATAATAAATAACATATTATTTATGTATATATTAATGTGTATAAACATATACATCAATAATATACATATCCATCAATAATAAACATATACATTAATAATATACATATCCATTAATAATACACACATATATTAATACACCTATACATTAATAATATACATCTACATTATTAATATACATCTACATTATTAATATACCTATCCATTAATACAATAAACCTCACCTGTACAAAATACAGCCCAATACCCACCTCCCATCGATCCACAAATTCAATGCCATATAAAACAGCAACATCGCCACCGGATCATTAAACAATCGCAGAATAAATATCGAGTGAATTCGATACGATATACAACACAATAACAGCAGTACAAACGGAGGTATCTAAATTATTATTATATAATAATAATAAACAATAATAAATAACAAAACAACAAAAATAATAACGACAAATAACAAAAATCTCACCCTCCCACTTCTGTAATAAATCCTAAACACCAAAAGCAACGTCACCACATACAATCCCTCGAAAATATACTGCCCCAATCTGACGTTCTTACCACCCTCAGTCACCGCACTCAGCACACCATATACTATCAAATGACCTGCTGGGTACCTGTAATTATTTATAAATTAATATGTACAATAAAAAATAATAAATATATACCATAATAATAATATACAACACTAAAATATATACAATAATATTGTACAACACCAAAAATAATTAATAATAATAATAACATAAACACCATAAAAAGTATCGGTCAGAGCACAGACAGTCAGAGTAAATTTGTCACCATCTGCCACTCAGCGGGCAGAGATTCAGAGACCTCTCAAATAATAATTCAAAAAACAATAAATAACAACAATAAACAATAATAAATAAACAAATAAACAATAAAAACAATAATAAACAATCAAATAAATAAACAACTCACACCACCGGCCCCGTATCACCACCAATCTCAGAATAATTTCTGATTCCCCGCTTCGTAAAACACTCCACTTGCTGCATATAAGTTGACCAATCTATTTCTGTATCTATAAACAATAAAAATAAACAAATAAACAATAAAAACAACAACAATATACAATAAAAACAACCACTAAATCCCAAAAACTCACACTTCACNCTCCAAATCACCAAATTACACACCAATAATTCAGCTAACACCAAAACCGTCGCCACCAAAATAAACCCGTTCCTATTCACCGTCAGTAAGAGCTCAGCCAACCATTGAACCGCCCCTGCGACCCCTCCACCGCCTCTCCCTTGCCTCCGCTCCACTTTATTGGACATCCTACAATAACCACGATAATAAATATCCCAATTCTATCTAAAATAATAACAATAACAATAAATCAAAACAACAAACAATAACAATAATCTAAAAATCCACATAAATATCCTCATCAATCAGTATCGATCTCAACTGATCACTCCAAACCACCGTAAAACCACTCCCAACGCCATTTCCAACATTTTATCAA